ACAATATCTGTTCAACAGATGATACATCAGAGACGACATATCTGTTAAACAGACGATACATCAGAGACGACATATCTGTTAAACAGACGATACACCAGAGACGATATATCTGCTCAACAGACAATACATCAGAGACAATATATCTGCTCAACAGACAAAATATCAGAGACGATATATCTGCTCAACAGACAATATATCAGAGACAATATATCTGCTCAACAGACCATACATCAGAGACAATATATCTGCTCAACAGACAAAATATCAGAGATGATATATCTGCTCAACAGACAAAATATCAGAGACAATATATCTGCTCAACAGACAATATATTTGCTCAACAGACAATAAATCTGAGACAATATATCTGCTCAACAGACAATCCATCAGAGACGACATATCTGCTCAACAGACGATAAATAAGAGACGATATATCTGCTCAACTGACAATATATCAGAGACGATATATCGCCTCAACTGACAATTTATCAGAGATGATATATCTGCTCAACTGACAATATATCAGAGATGATATATCTGCTCAACAGACGATACATCTGAGACGATATATCTGCTCAACGGACGATAAATCAGAGACGATATATCTGCTCAACTGACAATATATCAGAGACGATATATCTGCTCAACTGACAATTTATCAGAGATGATATATCTGCTCAACTGACGACATATCAGAGATGATATATCTGCTCAACAGACGATACATCTGAGATGATATATCTGCTCAACTGACAATATATCAGAGACGATATATCTGCTCAACTGACAATATATCAGAGACGATATATCCGCTCAACTGACAATATATCAGAGACGATATATCTGCTCAACTGACAATATATCAGAGACGATATATCCGCTCAACTGACAATATATCATAGACGATATACATGTATCTGCTCAACTGACAATTTATCAGAGGTGATATATCTGCTCAACTGATGACATATCAGAGATGATATATCTGTTCAACAGACGATACATCTGAGACAATATATCTGCTCAACAGACGATAAATCAGAGACCATATATCTGCTCAAAAGATGTCATTCAATTTTTTGGTACCATTGTGCCCCCTATATATTTGGTCTCAGCCTGTCAGCAATCCGACTGGTATTGTCCATGCTTGCACTCTTTCATGCGGACTCACACAAAATGTACATGTACATGTATACACTGCATCTACCACCGTACTTCAAGGTTTTAAAACTTTGTTGCGGGGTGGAATATGCCATGCTGTGCCTCCAAGGCCAAACTTGGGGCAGCTTTAGTTGAAAGACCAATCTGGTATAACGTTGCATTCAAGAAGAGAAAAAGGAATTAATCAAACACAACTCAGAATTACATGAAAGTGCAAAAACGCATTTACAGTGTACATGTAGCTCTACTTTCAGCTTCATATGGACAGAAAAATTGGGTCATCGACCCCACAGATTGATAGAGCTGTCTAGCAGACATCAGCCCATCCAATTGAAGTTTGACTTCAAATTACCATTAAGGATAGCTAAGATGTCATTTCAAGAGTATGTTGCCTGGAAATGCCTTAAACCCTTTTTTTCCCAAGCTCCTGAATCCGGTCAGCTACATTCCACATGGGAGCTGTAAGCTGCATTGGAAAATTGTACTCAACTTTCCGGACACCCAATATCCACAAACTCCCACATAGAAAAGAGTTCTGCTTCAAGACATGCACAGTCTACAAAATGTGAATTTGCTCAGACAAACTTTCTGTTGTTAGAAGTTTCATCAGATTAATTGTGTTATACACCAACATGGGACCCGAAACCTCTAACAGAGCCAACACAAAAGCACACTTTAAATAAATCAAACAAAAGAAATACAAAAATGCTTACAAAATGAATGGAATAAAAACAGCCCAAATTGAAAGGAACTGAACAACAAACTGAAGACGAAAGTCTTCCCCCCCCCAAAAAAAAAGTCCTGAGCTATCAAAATGTAAATACTGAAGTTTGATGGGGACAGTCAGGGGTGAAATCAGGCCAGAGTGGTAAATGTCGCTGACCAATGACGGCAACTCCACTCGCAGACCAACTCTGGGGGCGACATGGAGACGGACGACTGGAAGAACAGACAAGCAAGAGCTGGGAAGAGGGGGAAATGGGAACAAAGGGCAGGCAGGGGTGGAAAACTGGAGACTAGGGAATTAGCGACTACTGAGTGAAGCACATCGGGAGTGTGTCGCATCAAGCATGCCTCATCATGAGGGACGGCGCAGTGAAACCGAGGTGTGATCTACATGTACGTGCACACTGGTATCAGGGTACTCTTGAGAAGCGTTCAGCAGGCGAATAGACAACTCTTTGATATCTGTCAGGGCTGTCAATCAGTATGCCTGACTGAGCAGACTACCTGGCTGTGGATCTACGGTACATGTATATATCTGAAAGAAAACATGATCCTTTCCCAAGCGTCTACCATGTCTTGCGATGAGTGTTTCCTTCTGCAGGATGTAATTTACACTTCTGGTTTCAACTGCAGATCACCCAGTGCATGCAGGCTGCATGTAGGCCTGTTTGCAATACGACAACACACAGTCTTGGATGGCTGATACATGTATATATACATGTGGTTCCCTTTCTTTCTCCAACAAGGTTCCTCACTAAACAAAAGGACATGATTTGGATGTCTTCTTATTTTTTTCTTCTGCAACCCTAACCCCTGGGCACTATTGCAATTGAGCTTCTTCAATCCTCTCGAAATTCAGCACGGTGAGGTACCGGTAAAGTACACTGTCACCCATTGGCACAGTCTTAAGTTTGTTCTTTAAGAGAATTGGACCATGGTGGTGCATGCATGTGCAATAGGATACGGGAAGGGTTTTACTATACTACATGTCAATCCGCAATCAAGCAAAAGCAGGTGTTGGATTTTGGGGGATTTCAGTTGATCAGGGTTGACCATTTAAATGGGTCGCCAACTGGAAACTGCCTGTAAAGGACATGTTACATGTATGTATGCCTCGAAATTCTGGATGATGCATTAATTTCATTTTTTTAACCACCTGGGAGGTATGGTTTTCTGACACAGGATTCTGATGTTTGACATGCTACATTAAGGAATTACTTCACACTTTTGGGATTTTGAGTTCAAACTATGCACATGAAACTTACACAGTTACATGTACATGTAAAAACAGTTTTTACCTCAGGTTCATTAATTAGATGTTAATTAGATTAGATGTACAATGGACACACAGACATACAGGACACACGACCATGAAAATGACACAAATCAGAGTACCGTTCTGTCAATGATTAGTGCATAAAGAATTCTTTGCTCCTACTCATGATGGCACCAGTATCACTGACTGCTCATGAATATTAAAATCACATCTGCATCAAACATAAAAGGAAAGAAACACCTCAGGAATGATCATGCCCGTGCCTGAAAAATGGGTATATTCTGTGGATTTCATACGAGAGTTGAATTGCCCTTTTTTGGCAATGATCTGCATGTCGTATTTATAATTAGCAAAGCTTAGAGCAAAACATCAAATGTGACATCCCAACACCTCCTCTTAAAGAGCAACCCCAACGGTGGTGAAAAAAATAGGGCAATACAGCTTAATATACTCACGTGGTATCTAAGTAATAAGTTACATGTATATATGTTGAGTGGCACTTAACAGTGGCACTTAACAGTAACACTTAACAGTGGCACTTAACACTTAATAGTAATATTAATAGCAATAAAAATATGGACCAATTCTGCGGGTCTTTCAAAAACTGTCCACGTATGTACCGTGCAGAAACGTTTTTTTAATTGCGCACCAAGATGGGAACGAAAAACATCACGACCTCGCAGGACCTGGTTTCATGGGTATGTTGCAGTACAAAGACCTGCACGTCTCAGCTGCAGGGCCTAGTCTGACACTTTTCTTGGCATAAAATAACAACATAGAAACATTCAAAACATCTGTCCTTCACTCTGAACTTAGCAAGCCGTATTCATCGCATGCTCTTGGTCTCCTTCACTGCCTCGTCCACCAACGGTGGCCCCATCATCAGCCCGATTGGGATACCGTTGGTGCTCCGGTGGCACTATGGGTTCAAAGCGGAGAGGCTCTGCGCCTCGGACTTCGTACTCTGTTGTCCTCGGGTTCATCTCGCTCTGGTGAGCTCATGCTGTCCGAAGTAGAACCGTTGTCTGACGACTTCATCACTTCTTCATCAATACTATGCTCCTCTCAAGAGTTGTTGCTTTTGGGTCTTTCGCTTTCAGCCATTTTTTGGGGGAGAATATCTCGGGCCTTCAAGGTACGATAACGCAAGCTTGGGACAATGTGACTGTGACTAAACATGTGTCATGTGTAATTATGTGCATTGACGTGACCGTGCCAGCTCAGTGCATACAGTACATGCACCAGCCTGAGAACCAAATCCACAGTGCAATGCGGACAATAGCCTGGAAAAGCCATATTCATGAGATGTAAATGAAGCAATGACGACACGCTCCTTTCACAAAAGCTAGCCTTAGCGCTTGGCAGAAATGGGTCTCAAAAGTGAGTTTTTTAAAACCAGAAATATCGCTGAATCCGGGTTTATGTGGCAAAGATGTCTATATAATGGGATCCAAGTAAACATACTACGGCCAGATTTCTTATTTTATTCCACCGTTGGCGTTGCTCTTTAAGGCTAAGGGAAAGTGCTCACATGTAATTGTACTTGGTGAAGCTAAGGGTACCTATTCAGCACCCACAGGTGCAACATCCAAGCTCAATAGGGGAAATATGTGTTTCAGCGTACTTAATGAACTAGGTTTTACTCGTAATTTTGTAGTTTACTTCTTCCTTGATCGTTGTATGAACCGTTACTTTTAATGGATTTTATTGTAATTGCTGGGCACCTCTGGTAAACAATGTTTCACTGAGAGATCTCCCCAGGGTAAATAAACAATAAACATATATATTTATAAATAAAAAAAATATAAATAAATAAATGGAAGGTTTTATTTCTTACCATGAGTTGTTTGTACTTGGGCCTCTGACTGCAATCCTTTGTCAAACTGAGTCAATGTAAAAGAGAGAAAAAAAACACACCACAGGGGAGAGTTAAACCAAAGAGCCAGAGACGGCTTTAAGATTAATGACTTTGACGGCTGAGGAGATGGCTGAGGAGGCCTTTGGACACCACTGCCCCAAAAACGTCAGCTTGAAACAGTGCTTTGCGGCTCATCTGAGAGACGCAATCTCTCGTTCCATAGCTGTGAGCGAGTCAGATATTTTTTCCTCACCTGGATGGGCTGCAAGCCCATCCCAGATTTCTCCAGATTTTTTTTTGTGTTTTCCCCTTCCTTTTCTACCGAAGCGCCTGCATTATTTCTTGGACGGAGTGAGACAAGTGGGCTGGCGTGCCTGGCCCCTGCGGCTAAAAACTTTGAAACCAGTAATCTGATGCAGTCCATCCACTTCCTTAATGACTTAATTGAGTCTTGGAAAGCTGTAGGGCAAGATGAGAGATATCAGGCTTTTTTTTTCTCTCTTCTGTGGTCCGTCGAGAGCAAAAACTCTATAATCAGAGAAAGTAATGGTAAATCAAAAACTCCAGTCCTACGTTACATGTACCGGGGTACCTCAGGTGAGTACAAAAAGACTAAAACCAAAATCCTCCAAACAAAGTGAATGTGTACGATATCCAAATACACCTGCAGATGGTGCACATTTTATGTACTGGTACATCCACCATCACATGGCTCAAGATGACTGTAAAAGCATACGTGCAAAAGTGCGACTGTCATGGCAAAAGGAATGCCACGAGAGTCGATCCACTGAGGAGGAAAGATACCTTAGACAAACAAATTTGAACCATTTGTTGCATTAAGTTGGACGCCAGCGTGTTGGCACGCCACCTGAGTGGCAACCCTTGCAGAACATAGGCATGTGACTTTCAATCAGATGCCTTAAGCCCCATATTGGTGCGTGTGCACACATGCACCAACGCATGCACGCATGTGATAAAAAGGCATTTTTTCAAAAAATCAATAACAACAATCTTTCTTTCAAGTTTCCTTTCTAATAGATTAGGTGAACTAACAGCTGGGGAGCTGAAGCAGTCTGATGTACATGCACCTGCCTTCCTTTTTCTATAGTACATGTAACCTGTGCATCAGCCGACCAAGTGCAAATGTCAGACAGGGGTGCTGTCCAAAGTGGAGCCACTGATCAGGTTAATGCAATAAAGTGGCTCTCCAGTTCATACGAAGAGCACACGAGACAGCTGATGTACGTATAAGTTCCCATACTTCGGGACTTGTGGGAAGCACTATTGGTTCGTCACTATAAAGAGAGATCTGACAAACAGGTGCTTGCCCGCGCATACATGTACACGTGTGTGCAAGATGTATGGTATTGGAGTCCACTCACCAACACTGGACGAAAGCGTGGAAGTCAACCGAGAAGCCTCGCTTTGGCGGAAGTCTGGGGGGCTCCTCCGACAGGACACGTGCGAGAACTTCAAAGTCGTTGTTGCAGTTCTTGTAGGGAAATTCGCCCGTCGCCAGCTCCACCTGCAGGCAGCAGGGATATCGGTACCATTCAAGTTAGTTGAAAACCCCACCCAAACACGCCATGGGGGAAGAGAGGGGGGGGAGGGGATATCAAAAACAATCTGATACAACATTTCTAATAATGAAATAATGAGATAGGGCACCGAAAAGCACGGTTTCATCCAGGCTAAAAGAAATATTTGTCTGTCCCAACCCAACCAATGCTAAAAACTGCCCGCTCTTCCTTAAGAAAAAACAATTTGAACTGACACCTCTAGGTGCTACCTGAGGCCCTAAATATTTGCACTGCATCCAGTGGCTGGGAAAGAACTGTGACGACTTGTTCATCAGTGTTAAAGATTCACATGAAAAAAAGGGGGGCTTGTAAATATGCAACAAGGAAAACCTGCCAGTCGAATTTGGTTTTGCCTGTTTGTTGCCTGTCCTCAGGATAGGTGGACAAGTGGCCATATGACCCTGTCTAGGGTACAGTGGAAGAGAACTTGTGTCTGGGGCTCCACTAAAATGCACCAGGATAAAAGCTAGAAACTCTTTTATCTTTTTTTACTCTTTTGTTCAACACTCTTTCTGACCCCATAACCTTCCTTAGTTGCACATCTGAAAGCTAAAATCCAACTTAAGGTAATATAAATGATGTGCTACTGTATGCATTACATGTACATGTATATTACACAGAGAGGCTGGTAGAAAGCTCTGCAACCAGACTTGTGAAAGTGCCCAGTGCAGGTGCAGAGTCGGTCTGCTCGATTCCAAGAGAAAAAATATTCATGAATGCTCGGCACACTTGTGCCAAATGCATATGATCTCGTACAAGTACACAATCAGTTCCCACCAAAGAACCGTCACTGCTATGAAACAAAAACAATCACCAAAAAACATCTCTCCTGTTCCTGCTTGGAATCGATCAGCCGTGAACAAAATATTTTAATACAGAGGGAAAAATCACTCCTGTGGGGATTTTTCGGTAGAAAAATCAACTACGAAAAAAGAAATGTTGGCAGAGCGAGAAGATTGATTATTCTGATGGACTTCAGCGTCGCAAAGCAGTTCAGGGCCTGCATAATGGCATCCTGCAAACCAACTCTCGAGCAAATTACCTTCCATCGTAGCCGACAGTAAATGTTCCAGGTGTACAATGCATCATCTGGGCAAATCCTGAATCCAAATGTATTACCCCAAAGCTTCAAAATGTGAAAATGACCTCCCCCCAAAGAGAAAGTCCCTCCTTAAAAAAAAGAAAGTTAAGCAATGTGCCATCTGAAAGGGTATAGTACCAGTATGTACAGTAGATTTCATGGAATACATGTACATGTATTGTGTTTGACCAAATACATATTGTCAGAAATAACATACATGTACAGTGTTCACTGACAATAATGAAAATACCAAAAATTGACCTTTAAAAGAACAGTACCATACACACAGTTGTCAAATTGAATCATGATTCACATCATACATAATTCGTATTAATATAAAGATCACTGGATACATACATGTATGTCCACATATATCAAACATAACAGATACATGTACATGTGTATTACTTTGCAGAGGTGGATGCTTTAGTGAACGTACATGTACTGGTACATTGGTCAATTTCACCCAAAAAGTAAGAGTTCTGAATTCTTCCCCTGGTTGCTTTCTTCAGCTTGGTTCCTCTTATAAGCAAAAATGAAACAGTTCTGTCACAATTCTTCAAATTGTCCGGACGTTTCATTTTTACACGTATATGTACAAGTAGGTGGCCATTCCGGGATATTGTTGACAAGTTTAATCAACATCAGTATGGTTGTCGGAGCAGATCATACACAATGCACGGCACTGTTGATCAACATC